TTAATAACTGTAGTTTCTTCTTATTTATTTAAGATTTGAGTATACCCTTAAATTACTTAAATATCCCAACTGTAATCAAATGAATTCTGTATTAAAAAATATCAAAAAAATCATATTTCTATATTTTATTATTTTCATTTCATTTCATTTTTTTTTATATGATTTTCATATTGATTATTTATCTATGTAGCTATTAAAATTATTATGTTTATTAAATCAGTAGTTTTGTAAAGAAAATTAAAAAAATATGTGTATTTACAAGTTTATGCATTTAACAAATGTATTCATTTACAGCTTAAAATTTTCTGTTTTTAGTATTTTTATTCCATTTTTTTCTTTATAGTTTTATAGATTTTATTATTATTATTAGTATGCCTTATTCCATATAGCTATTACATATCATTTAAACGTGTTGTTTTTTTTCTTTTTCATTCCTGAAAATAATAGCCTAGTAATAGTTAACGTGTTCAGTCGGTCTTATAGTATTGTCAGCTCTCCACTGCATATTAGCTTTAGACAAATAACTTTTTTAAATAATATTTGTGAGAAATCCAAGCATTACTTCTTCAAGCTGTAACAACTTTTTCTCTGGTGTTTTTTTTTTTCCGATTGTTGGATCTTTATGCTTAATTTGTTGATTGTGGATTTTTTGTCGCTTTATTTATTATGGTCGTTTATTCCCTAAGCTGGACCCAAGTCAACTTCGCTTGGTATTTTAACGATACATCTAATGAGGTCTGTTAGCTATATTTATCTATATTTACTGGCGAAAAAAACAAGAAATAAAAAAATAAAGAAGTACTTTACGATAATGCTTAATCTAAATCTTTTTCCAGGTATGATAATGTCAAAACAAGTACGATTTTATTTTGTAAAATATTTATAATCAATTCGTAAATATTTTTTTCTAATATTTTAATATGAAATTCCTAGCGTACAATATATCTTTAAATACCTTAATATTGATATATAACTCTAGTTTTAAGACAGTATATTTTTTTCTTGAAACACTAAGTCACCGCGTCAATGCCGAAGTAATAGCTGTATATCGATAAAATTTAATTTGAAACAGTTTATTAGTTGGAAAGAATGAAGTGGACTACTAAATTGTCAACGTCGCTAGAAAACATCTGTATCTTGAGAAAATCTTGAGAAAAAAGTTTTTAAAGTACACTAATATAGATTTTAAAGTACACTTATACTAACTGTAGTTATAGGTTAGAGTACAATCAGAGAGATAGATAGCCTCGAATTGCAGGCGACCATTATGTGTCGATTTGTGTCCTTTATTAAGCAATTTGATTGAAATCAATTTGTGGCCGCAGCCATTCAAGAGCTAACTGTAATTCGTAAAACTGTGGCAAGGTCAGATTGGGCAATTGCCATGCGAGTCGAGTTTTATTTGAATCGACTAAGTTCAAGAGCAACCACAGCGTATTTCATTTTAGAGATTAAATTTTAAAGATATCGTAATTCATATTTTATATTGGACAACTGCCCTTAAATATGAATTTACATAGTACTGATTTATTCTTAAATGTGTTAAAATTAGGCGAACTTACTATACGGCTTTATCTTATTTGACAATATAGGTTCTATAAAGCGAATTGTCTGCTTAGAAATCACGATTGAATGATGTTATCTCAAAGGACGTCATGTGAAAAATGAATGAAACATTTATGATCAATTACTGTTAGTGAGTTCGGTTAAGAAAGTAAATAAAGTAATCTATTAATCCTGCCCGGAGGACCATTATTACTTTTTCTTTTTAAATATTATTCTATGCGATCCTAGTGATACAAGAAAAGCATAATTGTGAAGGTAAGGCAAATGTGAAATAAGAGTAGTAAATTAGTTATAAAAATTCTGGCCTAATTGGGATGTTTGATGCATAAACCAACTACAATTGTCTTTTATATATCTTCCTCAACTAAAATCTAAACTAACGAAGTCCAAACACAATCTTTCCATGGATGTCTCGCCATAAACCTCGGACATTTAACAGTCGATACACCGCTTACTTTTTTTGTGATTGGTTTACTACTTAGTCCGAAAATTCTTCATAAACCATTCCAGTTATAGCTTCAACTGTACATAATTGATTTAGGCAACACGATTCTGCATTATTTAGATGTCTGAATTATTTTTATTTTCCAGATAATGAATCATAAGGCCTCGTTTTCGTCCATACAGACAAGTAGGAAGTAATCTAGATTTTTCTGTTCTTGTTTTTTACTTTTTGGATTATAAGTCAAAGATGTACTTTTTTGACCGAAATATAACAAAGAATTCTGTTTTGTTTATTTTTCCTCACGAATTCAGTTTCTTTCTGGTTTCTGATATTCTTGTTAAAAGAAATCAACTTGTGGGCCGAGACGTAGGTGGGATATCCTTTTTATAGCGACCTTGTGGAAATAGACAGGATTCAGTAAGCTGGGATGGTTATTTTTATACCTAACCTTCGGAATCGCTTTGTATTATTATTGTCTTTAATGTTACTTCTCAAAAAATATTATGTTCTTTATCGAAAATAGAAGATAGATGAAAGAAAATAAATCGGTATGTAATATCCGGAATTCTCATACATGGAGTAATTATTTCCGTATCTTTATGCATAACGGTGTAAATGACCCTAGCGGTTGTTTCGCCTTAATAATAAACAAACAATTATTTAAAGGTATTTCCTCTTTATTTATAGCAGATAAATCATCACCGTTCCTTCTACTATTCATTTAATTTGGTAGATTTGTCTTTATTCCGATACCTAATCTTTATTAATAGATATTTATAAAATTAATATGTACATTCAAACTATCTATCTACATAAAAGCTAAAATAAAACTTAAAAACAATAAAGCAAATAAAAACAATGAAATAAATAAATAATTATTATATTAAAGACACATTAACATAAAGATAAAAAGAAAAATACCATAAAATATTTTTTAAAAAAATATATAAATAAATAGTAATAATAAAAATAAAAGAGTAATAAAAAGAAAAATACTAATAAAAGTAAGTAAAAAAAACAAATAATGGTATATATAAATGAGGATAAAAGAAAATCGCCAGGAATTTCCGTCAGGATAATATTTATTGGGTTAGCCGATAACTACTATTACCTAATTTACTTATTCTTATTACTATCATGTTTTTACTTTTATATTTATTATTTTACTGATGTTATTTTATATTTTGTAATTTTTAGTCCTGATGATGACCCACATGTTTGGATCAAAACGTCGGCTAACCCAATAAATATTACAGGGACTGAAATTCTTGAAGATTTTCTTTCATCCTCATAAGTGATCAGTCGACTATTTATTCATTTCTAATGATATATATAAATTATAATAATTAAAGGAGAATTTCGGTATCACTCTTTTTGTAATTAAAATATTTATATAACTTTTACATTGTAAATATAATTGTTCTTCTTTTCTTATTAATTAGTTGTATATAAATAGACTGAAATATAATTTTGTTATAAAACACAGACTCCTCTGACGGTCAACAGACCATGTAGCACGTCTGATTTTCAGTTTTAAATCCAAAAATATTATTTTGTATTGTCTTGCAATTTATATTATGTAATTTTAATTGATAAAAAGGATTTGTCTTCTTCTTCTATAAATTATAATAATTAAATGAAAAAATATGATAGAATATTTTAGCATTCAATTTAAAATTACTTCCATATTTCAAAATATTCGAGCAAGGAGAGTTTGCTCATCGTATCACTTATAATGTTAATTGCAGTTGTAATAACGTCGAAAGAAAAGTTTTGATTTTCACCTTCATTTTTTTTTTTTTTTTTTTTTTTTTTGCTAAATGTAGATTCTGTATGTGCCAGAAATACTGTTTTTTTCAGTTTCGTTTGTTTCCTTATTGTACTTTACTGTTATTCAAAGGTACCTATAACAGTCTCATTTTCTTATTGGAACTAACAGCTTTCCGTTGTTTTTATTTAAATCTAATCACTGTTTTTTTTTTCATAAACTTGTAAAGGTTGAGAGTAGATATTTGTATCCTATTTTTTTCTGTTTGACTGAATATTGTAGGGCCTACCTGCTTTAGAGTTGTTTACATATTATCCACGATGACCCAATATATGGTACATTTCCATTTAGAAGTTGTTATTTCAGGACCGACGCTACCAAGCATGGTGGTTCCTTCAGGATATAAATATTCACCCCGTTCGGCAGGTTTCCTATTTTAGAATGTTACGTTTTGTTTTCGGCTGAATCCCCTCAGCTGAATAAATAAAACTATTTGGATCATTACTGCATAGAATGTCCGATGTGTTTTTGTTCCTTTGAATCGTCTATATTGTTGTGTGCTGCTGCTCGTGTATGCAAAGAAAGTTATGATAACACTTTTGGATGCTTCGCATATTCTTTGTATATCGTTGGTTTACATCACATATCACTAGGTCCCACAAGTAAAATGTTATATCACGTTGAATTGTCAGAAAGACGTGTTACACCGAATCGACGTCATAGTTAATGCAAATTTGAATGGACAGAAGAATTATATACTGGTATAATCAATTTTTAAAATTATAGTACTTATAAAATAATAATTCTAATTGTCTTGCTTCTGCTTTGAAATTGTATGATCCGTCATTGTTACACCGGATGAGCAAAATGTTTTAAATAAAAATTTTAAAAAAGGAGTCGAAGATTGTCTAATCTAGGCCAACTCAAATCTTCTAAGTGAAGACCAAATATTAATGCATATTATCAAGCATACATAAAACCGAATAGAATTGATAAATACCGAATTACTCGACTTGGTTTAATCATAATTATTTGTTTGCTTCAAACAGTAATATTGGCATTTACAACATCTATGACGTTGACCATAAACTACGAATTGTAGTCTTCTGCAAGGCCAGATCATGATATAGAAATGAATTCATGAACTATTGTTCGATTGTTTTTTAATTACGAAATAATGATCACCAAACTTATTATCAAAATAATAAGAAAAACAACTTCGTTCGATATATTGTTTTTCTTTTAATTAACAGTTCCATTCTTAAAGTAACCCAATGAACCGTTCGAACATCCCGTGTAGCAATTACTTCCCTCTAGCAAATTTTCATATCGCAAATCAATTAATACGAAGCTGGCGTGATAGAATGTTTGTAATTGTATATTATTGTCAAACAAATGTTAAGTGATTGAATTGTAGACGCTGATAATGTTGGTGCATTGCTGATAAGGCCCGCCTAATGGGATTGCAATCCTCGCTGAGCATATCAATTGCTATTTGAGCGCATTCTCTTCCTATTGATGATATCAACTCGTCCATTGCAGCTGTGCTCAAACTATAAATATCTCGGCAAGTTCTGCAAATAAATTTTAAAAAAACTATAATAACAATCAATTAAAAGATTTCATTAAATAATTAGGCAAATTAAACTGAAATACATTTTTCGATTCATATATTTATTATCGAAAATAGAACATTGTAGTCACTAGATTGTTAGTTGGTTAATCATTCACTTCATTTATTGGTAGGCATGGAGTAAACATTTATTTTATTAAAATATTTTGTGCAAAATAGAACCAAGTTAATAATCAGTAAATAGTTGTTTTTAACTCATACTTATTTTTAAAGATCGTTAAAAAATAACTCATTCTTGGTTTTGAAAATTGCAAATATTAGTTTCCGCTAAGGTTTTAAGGACAATTTTTTTATATATATCTTCCAATATTTATCTGCACCTGTTGACAACTGTCGACAATTATTAGATGATACGATAATTATTGAAAATTGTTGTACTTAATAAATTTTATATGGTTACGGTTAATTATTAATTAGATTTTTAAAATTTGCTTTAGCACTTTAAACGGTACTGCTAATTTACAGTTATTTTCACATAAATTTCCCTAATTCTTACTTACAATTAAAGATATATATTTAGATATTTTTATTGAAATATAACTGCACATTAATCATAAAAAATATAATTGAACATTTAATCTTTGTTATTTTATTTGTAGGGATAATCATCCCTACAAATTTCAATTTATTTTTTACAGTTTTTCTCTCAATTGCTACATGTTGTTATTCTAAATTAATATTAATTTTCTTTAAACAGATATTGTAAATTGTTAAAGAAAACAATTCACTAAAATATATTAAATACAATATTTTAAAAATAAATATTTGAATCTGTAATTTGACCACAGCAACAATCCTGCATAATATGAGCACTGTTTTATATTTATTAAACCAATTATGCAAAATAAAGAAAATTTGCCTGAAGGAAGATACAAATTGATTGACAATCATAACGGACAGAATTTCATCGCCATCACGTTGAAGAACGAAAATGAAAAATATCATGTTTGGTATTAATTACTTTAATTAATTTCAGAATCTCTGATATTTTTAAGTATTAATTCTTAGAATCTCCTTATACTTAGACCTTTCAGATGGAATTTTAGGATCAATTTCCTTTAGTTTAATTTATTTACTTTGTGAGATAAAATAATTAATTATTTTTTAATTCAGGTATAGGGGAGTACAAGATTTACCATGACTATTTAATCTAATTTCAAAAATAATTGAAAATTATCAATATTATTTCTATTTATTCTCCATTCCCGTTAGTTCATATAAAATAATTTACCATCAGAAAGTGAGATTAACTTCAGATTTCAGTTGCTATTGTCTGGGATACGGGTAGGTGTAGACAAATCGTTTCGGAATATTATTATTTATAGTTTGAAATAATTTCGTATGTGTCCTTGACAGAAACTGTTGATATATGGTCTTATTTGTCATTTACCTGTCCCATAAATAAGTGTGCTATCGGATTGCAATACACAAACCAAGACTTAGATTTCATTACTTGCCACACTATTTAAATTTATGGTTGTCGGAAGAAGTGCTAGTTACGAGACAATAAATGACAAAACATCACGCTTTGACAATATTCTATTAGAAAGGCGAAGTAACGAAACTCGTAAACAATATGATTCAGTGCGGCATCGCCACGTCTGAGATGGTTTACAGACTGCCACGTTTTGCTCCGTTCGTCACACATAAAATTATTATAGCGTCGATCTTCCAAGTGGTACTATAATGCTGGTTTAAAAGTTGATTGAATTATTTTTGTGTTTATTAGTGACAAAAATATAACGTTTTGTCTACTCTTAAAACAATAACAGCTATTAACATTAATACTTACAGCTCAAAATTTATACTTTTTTACTTCAAGATTTGCAAGGTAACACTGCACTCAATCCTTTCATTCACTTCCACATCTGCCAAATAATTACTCTTTGGTGCCTCTCCAATTCATTTTTCATAAGTTTTTAAATTGAGAATATTATTCAAATATATTTTTTACATACATATTTCATCGCTGCGATTAATTCATATCCATCATTAATTACACTTACCGTTTTCGTATCTCCTTGTTAAGTATCCTGAATTCTTCATTTTTTGTTTCTCTTTTATTCAATTAGAAATTATTTTCGTTTTACGTAATATGCCACGATTCGGATTCGCAGATAATAAACTTTAATTTTGGTAATCTTTTGTATATTTGTTGTCATACTTCTAATAACTTATCATTTATTTTTAAGAATTTGAGGACTAAATATTTTGTTTTGCCATATTTAAGGGTCGTTAATATCTCCGTTGTTTCATCTTGTAAACTCCTTGATCGCGTAGACATAACTTTCTGTAAATATTTAAAGGTACGGGATTAACCAATTAGACAATTTAGACAAGTGCCAATTGGCCCTGAACCTGAGTAAAGTTGAAATAATTTTAATTTCCTTAACGAAGATTTTAGTTTTATTCTTAAATGATAAACCGTTATCATTATTCAACAATGTTTTTTTTTTTTTTTTTTTTTATAAACCAGCTGTTACTTATTTATTTTTTCGTAATATAAACTAGGCAATGGGAATACTTTAAGGGTTCCCTGATGTCTAGTATCATGTTCATTCCTTTTTCTTTCATATCCATATCACTGAAATCAGAGTAGATCTAGCAAAACTGATTATCTGTTAGTGATGTCCATTATACCCGAATCTATCTTTGTCCATCTTCATACTTGTATATGATGACTTCAAGTGGAAGAATAATTCATTTAAAAAAAAAATTAACTTATTTTTTTACTATAGAACATTTATTTACAAAATACTATTGATTTTTAATTAAATTAAAGCCTGTTATATATAACTCGCTATAATCCGTCTCAGGTTGAGTTCAAATTACCTAGCGTAATCCTCCCATCTACTCTTCGGGAGATCTAGCATTCAATAATTTTTTATTGATTAGTTATATATCTCCTCACGGTACTATCACAAATATTTGATTCTTCCTCCGCTCCCATCTTCTCCCAACGCTTAATTGTGTTATTTAAATTCTAAATTGGACCCATATTTACTCTGTATCCTAATATCGAAAACATTTAGGAGTTCTATTTCAGTGAAAGAAATATAATAATTCAACGTACTATTACTTTCAGTTTTTCGATGGGTTGATGATGTTTTGTTTATGGCTCACAATTTAGAATTCATCCTTTACTTTATTCCTGTTTTTGATTTTCATATTATTATTGTGTTATATTCCGTGAAATTTCCAGTACTATTCCTATGGTTTGGATTGTATCATCTCAGGACGGTTTGTGTCATAACCCAAGTTGTATTTTGTATTTTATTATAAGAATTTCAGAGATAGTTAAATGTAAATAAGAGTTGTACTGTTTAGATGCCATTGACCCTATCTCTAAGCTCGGAACATCTTGTATTTATTGCTTTGTGAGATATCGACTATCGCTTGTCTCTTCCACTGCCATTGCGATATCTACTTATTTATGTACCGATAGACGTTTAAGGCCGATTTATAAGGTTAATCTAACTCGTGACTCTAGTACTCTATCACTGATCGCAATTACTTTTAGTGGCCCCACCTGTAGAGCGGGTTTAACGAGATTAAAAGAAAGAAAGTAATCTCTTTTTACTTAATTAAATCAGTTATCCCATAATCTTTAATATCTATTCACGCATATTTTGTAATTTTTTATTTATTTTCGTCTTCTTTTTTACATTTTATCTTTTAATGTGACATTTCATATTAATTAAACGTGTTAAATAAATTGATTATTTTAATAGTTACCTATATGTCCATAAAAAATGTTATCAGTATTTGTAAAGCTATTCAAAAATAATATAATTTTGTTATGATATCGGAATGTTTATATACTTATTTCATATTTTGACCATCATGAGTTTCGGTCAATAAATAAATAAAAAATACATTTTTTCGATGCACATTGTGGACGTGTAAGAAAGAGAAAACTCGCTGTATCTATTTGAATCAGTCTAAATTTATTTTATTTAGAATTCCAAAAACTAGGTAAACTGTTTTATTGATATCTTGTATTCTTCGATTAGTTTCCGACAATATATTTTTTTTATTGAATAGTTCAATTGAATAAAAAAAAAATGATTTAGTCGATGTCGCGAGTTTTTCTTACTCGCCCCACTTTGCGACGTTTCGAAAATTTATTGTTCTCAAATCCATACCTTTCGTGGAAGAAAATATATATATAAACATATTTTCAGAAAATAATTATTACACGCCGTAATTACAAACAATTACTAGTAATAAGCATTAATTATTGATATATATATGTAAATTGTGTTAAAAGGAAACTATTGAGAAAATAATACTTAAACATTTAAAAAGTAATATTCACTATTTTGAGTTACAGTGTGAATGATAAACTACATTAAAATAAATTTAGGGTAATATTAAATAAGTCCTTTCGGTTTTTTTCGGGTGAAATAAAACTCAATATATTATAGACGTAAATTTTATTTTAATCTAGAATATATTGACCATTATTTAATTTGACTTTTTCTCATCTTTCTACTAACTGCATAATGCCATGTTCATAGAATGTCTGGAGTTTATTGGTAAAAAACTGATTCAAGTGGTTTTTGATGTACTCTTTCTTTTTGAATTTCTTTCCATTCATGGAGTTTTTCTGAGACCGGAATAAGTGGCAGTCACTTGGAGCTAGGAATAGGGAGGGGTGAGGAAAAAGGTTCCATTGAAGTCTCAATAATTTATTGCGAGTGACCAATGAGGTTTGTGACCTCTCTTGATGGAACACAACAGCCTTCCGATCATTCATAACTCATCAGGATGTTCTCCAAATTCTATGTTACTATATCCATTGGAAAGCTAAATTATTGCTCCCAAAGCCATTTGATTCTTTGAAGGAATAAATAAACAAAAACTCCTTAAAGGTTTTATTTTTTATCTCCATTTCTAGTCATTTTGTGTAGTTTATATGGGTCATAAACCTGCTAAATTCCTGCTAAATTTCTTGTAGATATCTAAGGTCGTATTGAATTTATTACATTTTTTGTGATTTACCAAAAAAAATCTTGTGAAAATCCCAAACATTAAACCTGGAAATATAGTCGAACTTGTGCAAATGGAATAATATAGTGGAACTGATATTTACAAACTTGATAACATTTTAACAATAACCTAGTATACTATAAGTATATATACTTATTTAATATTAAAAAGATTTTGATCTTTTTATTCCTAATTTGGTTTTCTTCTTAATATTATTTTATGATTAATCGTTTACACCTTACCTGGCTATTTCTAGCATACGGAAGTGGTGGTCGACTCTACAGCTATTATCAACCTATTCTAGCCAAGAATTTATCATTAATAGTCAAAAATAAATTTGGACTCATCTGGGCCGGATTCGAATCGGCGTCGCTAGAATCTAGTTTGCTAAGCTTGTGATGCCTTGACACTCTCAGTCATCACACACTTTGTTCATAACAAATCATAGATCGGTTAAGTTTGCTGTGGAATAGTGTGCAATGTATTTGCGTTATACTGCTTACAAATAAAGCATCTTGCTTTCTTTCTTTTTCACAAAACTGCCAAGTATTATACTCTGTAAAATTTCGATTATAAAAAGAAATAAAAATAATAGGTACACAAATTAAATAGTATTGGAATGTGATAGAACTTAATATTTAAATATAATATGGAAAATATAATTAACAAGTTTTGATAAACTTATATTTTTCGTTTTCTCCGACGAGCATTATCCCCGTAGAGCACGAGGCTGAACCCAGTATAATTGCCTTCCTAATGATTGCCCAGTCGCTAGAATTCGTCATAATGCAGCTATATTGCGGTACTTCTTGGAAGAATGGTCCCTGAGCCATCGTCCGCTAATCGATGTTTGTTTTCGATAGTGAACGACTCGACGATCGTCGAAGTATGAATACTGCGGTGAGCACAAAAGGCCTTTGTCTCCGGGAGACTCGGAGGACAATGATGAAGCCAACTTAGCATCCTCTCGCATTGTCCTCATTCACTTTTATTAGTCTCATCGATTGAATGAGTTGCTATCGATTGGGGCCTACCTCTCTTCCGAAGTCGATCGATCCAATAACTGCCAAGGTTTAAGTATAAGGTTCAATTTGAAGTGAGAATATGAAAAAAGGAAGGAGACGAGATTTTAAAGTTTTAATTTATTCAAACCCTTTTTAACTATATAAAAAGAGTCTGAATAAATTAAAACCTTAAATTTTGCTGTTATTATAATTACTTATTTATTTATGGGCGGGATTTGTAACGATTCATGAGGACTTTACAAAACAATGGGTGCCTTAATAGTTAACTACCTGAATGGCCATAAACCAGATGGATGGAATCAACGAAGGTGCATAAAAAATAAGGTGCATAAAAAGAGTCTGAATAAATTAAAACCTTAAATTTTGCTGTTATTATAATTACTTATTTATTTATGGGCGGGATTTGTAACGATTCATGAGGACTTTACAAAACAATGGGTGCCTCAATAGTTAACTACCTGAATGGCCATAAACCAGATGGATGGAATCAACGAAGGTGCATAAAAAATTCAGATTTCCATGGAGAAAACTGGAATGCAGGACCAAAACTAGGGCGGCCAACGAAGAACACTTCCCAAGAACAAGATTCCGAAGGTGGGGAGGCGAATTTCGAATGAAATTGTATTTTCAGGTAAACAATAATTGTGTCTGCTGTTTGATTTTTGACCTTAATTCAACCAAGAAAATTATTTTATGTAATGATCTATTGAAAAGATAGGAAGATTGTGTTAAAGCCGATCTGAAGGGACCGGGTGTGGACCGTGGAGGGAGTGTGTAAAGGCCGGTCCACACGCTCCGTTTTGCACAACGTTTTGTCTGCGCAGTTCAAAACGTTGCAGATAAAACGTTGCGTGTGGACTGGAAAACAGTGCAGTTTTGAATCCATTTGGAAGACGGTACAGTCTTAGTAAGACTGAGCCAGACAGCTCAGATTTCCTTGAACTGCGCAGGCAAGTCGGCGCATGTGGACGGTAGCAC